TCCGCAGCATGGCGTCGCTAGGCTCACACCAAAGAGGTACGTACTCCTGTGAACAAAACTAACCACCTCCAACATTTGGCTTTGGTGCGAATTCAGCAATCGTTTTGCTGACTGTTTACAACTCACACCACCCTTCCTCCCTTTCCCCATTCACTCATTCATTCATTCCTTCATTCTGTCTAAGGCTTATTCCTCAATCCAGTCATTCATTTGTCCTTCGTCAAACGCCAAATTGCATCTCTGCCCTCCTGACTGACCGACTGACTAACTGCCACTTGGAGGTGTTTGACTTGACCCCTATCTCGTACTTCCTGCTGATTTGTGCATGACCTGTGCTGCGTGAATGACATGTCACTTCACCTCACATTTGACAGCCATTGCTCACTCCCTGATGCCCGTTTCTGCGAGTACTGATGTCTTCAGAGTAAGATAGGTGAAGTGGATGTGAATGACAGTGTACGTGTGTAGTGACATGACCTCCACTGGTGATCTGTGGGAAGAAGATGTGGCGGTGGGGAAGGAGAGGAAGAAGGAGAAGGCAAAGGCGAAGGAGAAGTTGATGGAGGTGGAGGAGTAGCAGTGGAGGTGAGAGGGTATAGACTGGGCCATGAACAGAGGGTGGCGTAATCCCTTTCCACTCTGGCTGTTACTGCTGCTGTTTCCATCTCTGTCGGCGTCACTGCTTGTGATGATCATGGTTATGGTGGTAGCGAATGCAAAATTTATGCAGCAGGATGCACTCACTAATATGCAAAGGAGGCTAGCGAATGGACGGAAGAAAGGGGGCGAAGTGGGTGAGAGGCTAGGAAAAAGGCATTGCAAATCGACGCTGCTCGCACGCGAGAGTTTGATTATCTCCCGATCGCTCTGTTTCATGCTCTCCCTGGCCCTACCCAACGTTCCCGTCACCCCTTATGACCATGCAAACAATTTTTTAAAGGAGAGCTCTACAATCACTTAATTTTTTAACCATATAGTACATTAACTTGATTGGATATCTTACATATGATATGCTACTTATTTAATAATTTAGTAGCAGTGGAATAGCTTTACCAGTACTGTCACAAAAAGGTTTTTCGATCACACACTACTTGAAATTTCCACATTTCAGTGAAAAATTCATCGATGGATTTATGAACTAAACGGGCGCGGCGTAGATAGCAAATCAAAATATACCGGAATGCAGTGTTTAGTCATCGGACCAGTTCGGAATTTGCCTTCCGCTGGAGAGGAGATATAAATCTACTTTTAACCATAAACGAGCCATCCTCCGACAGCATGTCACAAGAGAGAGGAAGACCAGAGGCGAGATTACGGCGGTGGTGTGGATAATGTGGTGGAAATATCTGTGCAATGCAGGCCAGCGACACGTCCATCCCACTGCTCCTCATTCATTCATCCTCACTCCAAAAGGCGCTTTCAACCGATTCTTTGCAAAAAAAACCCACACATCCTAGTCTTAAAATAGCGTAAACATCAAGCACTTCCTTACCACTGTCAGTGGTTGGGGTAGGGAGGGAGGGAGGGGGGAGAAACTCACGTCAACTGTTGAGTGAAGGTGAGGGGGTAGGAGGTGAGAAGGTGGGCCTAGTCAACTCACATTATAAATATAGTTGCGCAACCATTTTTAGGAGGACTACACGAGAAGAAGAAGACCTTAACGGAAAGAAAAGCGTGCACGACACGCACACCCGAGTGACCTTGAAGGTGAAAAAAAGGGACCGATCGATGGCACAGAGAGGCACGCGTATGCCACACAAATTCACCTTCACTTGCAAATTACACTACCTAGGCCCCTGGGTCAAAATTTATGCAATGGGAAATGTAAACGACATGGGAGTTTAAATTACTTTGTTTGGGAGGGAAGAAAAAAGTTTGTTGCAAAAAAATGAAGCACATTCAAGTAAAGGGGGAAAAGGTTTTGCCTGCTCCCACTACGAATAGAAGGAAAAGCGAGGAAAGGGAAGACGAGGGAAATATCCTTTGGTGTTTTACTTATTTGCTTATCTCTTGGAATTCAGTCTCGCGGGCACTTGAAACTCTTACTTCTGCTGGGCGGCCTTGCCAGTACCCCCGTCCCCCCGCGCCCTCTCAGCCCTTCTGTCTTCAGGACAGAACCGGGACGTTAACATCTACCCTTGTTTGCAATTTTTTGAACAAAAAAGTTGGAGAAAATAACGAGTTTGCAAATATGGAAAATCGGGAAAAAAAACAGGAAGAGAGAATTAGGGCACGAAAGTCGGAACTGGATCGGTGCAGTTAAGCGAATTATGAAAGTTGTCATTGTCTAAAGAAAAACAGCCATAAGAAACCCACCTGTGCCAAGATCTTAACGTATTTGCAAGCAGAGTAGCCGAGGTAAGCCCATTATACCGCAACTCGAGTGTTTTATTACTTTAATATGGTGGTGCCGCCACCTTCACCGTCAAAGTGATCAGTTCAAGTTGTGTTCATTCAGTGACAGAAAAAAATCTGTAAATAGCTCCACAGACCTGCTGTACTATTGTGACAAACACATCGAAAAATATTAGAATTGTTACAACCATCACGTATGTGTGACGTCACACGTGCGTGACACCAACAGTAAACTTTTTACTATACTTTAGATGAAAGTAAATTAGTACATGCACATTAAAGAGCTAAATAAGGAATATTTACAAAGCCATTATGAGGCACTCCCTTGCCAGGACATTATTATAAAACAAAGAAAATGAGATGCCTACTCATGAGAATAAGAAAAATGGGAAACCTACCTTTCCTTAATTAAACACAACACAAAGAGTTGAATCCCCGCAAAAGTCCACAACAGAAGAACCATAGAAGTTACAGCAATTTATGCCAATCACTCCCGATCTCCAGTACACCATAAATTACGACTTATAAAACAGGAAAGAACCACGATTTATGGCAACTTATGAATCAGACGTGGGAGATTTTAAAGCAGGCGAATCAAAATTTAACAGGAATTGAGCGCTCTTCACTAAAGGCAAAAATCTGGGCAAAAATGCGGATAGTAAATGATACCAGCTAACGATATCCACAGGTGGGGAACGCGAGGTGAACTGTTCGTACCAGAGGCACAAATATCCGTACCACATAGCAATGGAGCCAACATACATTAATTGCAAGACAAATAAATTACGTTACACCAATTAATGAAGCAAGAAAAGAAGGGCTGTCTTGTTAGGGAGAAGCTTGTCCAAGGGGTTTTCAAAAACAAAGAAATGCGATAAAAAGCGGTTAATTTCGACAAACCCCAAAGGAATGCTTTTCAGTTTTTGCAATTACCTAACCAATCGCATGCAAAACCGTATAAAAGACAAAAAAACAACTTTTAGGTTTTCATAACGATCACACTTGAACCATCCCATTGCTGAAAGCATAGCAACCCTTCAAAATAACGATTTTCGGGAGCAAGAGAATAAAAATAAGTAGTGCGACAAATATTATTAATCAAAATATTTTTCAAAAATCGCCTTCAATATACCAAACTTTTCGACCAATAAGACGTCGCCTAAAACACGGCGATCAATAGGCGGTTCCTGATTGGTGAAAAAAATGGAGCACACATGACAGGGCTGGAGAAACCCCAGAAAGCAGATCAATAAAGCAGGTTTTTGGCCGGCTAAAAAACCGCTGAAATCACACACATTTTGCCTCTACCAAACAGTCAGCTAGCCAGCCAGCCCGTCTGTCTGTCTCCGCTATCGTGCAAGTGAACTGCGGTAGAGTTGGAGTGCTGACAGCAGCAAAAAATAACCACCATTTGCTTGCTTTTTCCCACTTGCCCACTTTGTTTAAC